AAAAACTACAATCCTTGCAAAAATTATTGAAGTTCATCATATCCAATCATATCCTTGTAAAACAGCAATTTTTACCTTCCCCTCCCCCCGTTCGATGTTGAAAGCTTATAAATTGGTGAGGTGAAAGCTTTGTGAAATGGAAAACTTGTCTTAAAATTTATATGTCAGACGAATAAATAATGACGGGTTTAAGCTGGTATAACCTTGAAAAGAGACTGAGTTAAGGCAACCTCGTATCCAGGGCATTTTGCTTCCCATTTTCGCTGAGTGGGAAGCAAAATGCCCTGGGTACGAGGTTGGAGCTAAGGGTTTTGGGATTTTTCAGGGATGATTTTTTGGGATGATTTTCGTTCGTTGAACAAGTTTCCCATCTAGCTAGCTTAGACGGAAACCCGTTTTCTAATATAAATTCAGCTATTAATTAGAGAGCTTAAGCCCATGCTTTTGTTAACATAGAATTGCTTCATATCACGAAAGCGACACTGATGCCTGACGTACTGACGCCATAATTAATCGGCTAAATTATGTACACGTTCCGTGTGTGTTGTCAAAAACGTCGCTTGTATAAACTCTCTATATTACCACCATCACTTTCACAGTTGTAATTAGCAATTCTAAAGCTAAACTACGCTCGTAGTGAATCGTTCTGGGGCTTTGGACCACGACAGAAGAGATCTAAACGCCATTTGATATTGATTTTGGAATTTCTCAAAATTGTTTGGAACGCGTTTTTTGTTCATGATGACGAACGTGCTAGTGCGCAATCGGGTAACTTCTATAAATAATGAAAACAGGTTACTTACTGGATCGCTATATTCACTCAGTTTTTCTTTGTTTCCTATCGTTTCCAGGGAAGTCCACTTGCACTTGTCTACAGCACGCACAGCACATTGTTTGTGGACAGTGTATGTACAGACTAGCAAGTGGTAAAGGAAGCATATATTAAGAAAATTCGTCATTATGACAGACAGACAAACAGAAAAAGCATAACTGGTGAAGTACGTTAACCCGTTATGATGCGAGACCACCTTGATTATAGAATAGTAACCCAGTTATCTGTTGCATTGCTTGTGCGCAGACGTTTTCAGTCGGAATAAATACAAAAATATGTGAATAGATTGATTATAGAGTACTAGTTCTATACAGTATTTGGTTTATGCAGCGTGTAATGTTCTTTCGATATCAGGAAAAACCATTTTTGTTTGCAACTGATTCGTAAAGAAGAATGTAGAGAACTACAGTCTTCCGTGTTTGTTCTCGCAATGGCTCACAGAAATGATCTAAGTGCTTGCTTAAATACTTTTACGTGGGCAAGGAAATGGAAACGCCACCAGTAGAGCAATCTTTTCCTCAACTGCGGTTATCAATTTTAGTCAATGGGGTATTAATTACTTTCATTTTTTACAGAAGAAATCAACACATGCTCGTTTCCAGGTCTTCTCGGGAGATCTGGGAATTACTGCCAAATAGGCCATTTCCGAATTGCGTTCTAGTTCTCAAGAACAAATTAACGCAAACTCTAGGCTTCGTGCCAAATTTTCTACATTGCAGCTTTGCACTAAGCCTCGTTCTCAAGCTATTGCCTATGGGCATTCTACTGTAATTCGGAAATGACCTATTAGATATGAGCATAGAAATAAAGAGAGAGGCCAATACCTTCACAAGATAGACCTCTGGATGTAACCCCAGGTAACAATTCACCACAAACATTACATAACGTAGGGCGAGAGTGAGAACGTGAATACCAGTTATGGCCATCCGATAAACGGTCCAGGATATCGGACTAGAAAATGAAATATTCTTAACGAGTCATTCGGGCGCATTAAAGCCGCCAGTGTGTGGGTGAGTGGGTTAAAATATACCTTTGGTTTCGTGGGAAGTCAACCTTATGCATTACTAATACAGAAGCCCTGAGTACGAGTTTGGGTGGAAAATATAATCCATTCCATTTGCTTTCCTTACAATTCCTTTCCAGTTATTGCACTTTACATGACGTGCACGCAAATCCTTTCCATTGACGTGTGCGTCATGTAAAGTTCAATATAACGGAAGGCCTGAGAGGGAGACTTGTTGTATGCGTATCATTAGAAGAACGTACATTGGAATTCCTTAAGGTGATGTTGCGCAGTGCAGTGATCCATTCTTCCATCTCTCGTCGAGTATCACCACATAATATTATAGTGAGATAAGGCATGATGATCTAAAATATTCACAGTTTTAGAGATTAGTTACATTTTTCTACAGCACAAATAACGGCAGCGTATTGCAGAATGACTTGACCAATTATGCTTAGATATGTGTGCGTCATGTAACTTTTTTTAAGGTCACGTTCCCATATCTTACTGTAGTTTCCAACCCTAATCTTAACCCTAATCTTAACATTAGTCAAACATTCCCGACATGAATCTATGCGGACTTCTTTTAAGTTCTTGAAACCACAGGGTAATTGCTGCATGCGCGGTAACAGAATAACTAGAATATATTGCTTTTTTACCAAGACGTATGGAGCATGTTTCAAATGGAAATGTTCCCTGTTTTACTTTCGACACCAGCAACTTACTGGTCTGCGCGCAGTCCCCAGACATCGTCACAAACGATGTAATGGTGTCATGGCACAGAAGCACGCTGCTTCGTTGGCAATTTTTTATTCAATTTTTAAACATTTCCGCCTTCATATATAATTATTTGGTATGATTTCACCTTCGTCGACTTGAATGAATCAATGAAAAACTATATTTGAAGACGCTAGCCCTATCAGCAAAAGCCTTTTTCAATGCATGAGGGGGAGGGCGTCCCCACTGTACATTACATAAAAAAAACATTCACCTATATATAAAACATTCAACTATATATGCAAAACACATATACCTAACAAACAAATAATTTTTAGATAAATACAAGGTCGTAAGAGTCCAGTGGCGTAACGTTATATCAGGGGGCCCCCGGTTCAAAATTTTCGAAGGCCCCTAGTAGAAGTGCCAAAGGCACAAGTCGAGCGCCGTATATGCACGAGTTTTCTAGGGGGTCCAGGGTATGCTCACCAGGAAAATGTTTGAATCTAGAGTCTCTGAAATGCCATTTTCTGGACTTTGGGGAGAGATTTTACAGAATTCAGATGGTCAGAAAACGACATTGTAACATATCAGAGAGACTCTGGCCAATGTTTTTGCTCTATCGCCTAAGCCTGGGGGCCCCCATTTGGCCCATTGGGGTTGGGGGCCCCCGGGTTCTCCCGGTTGAGCCCATAGTAGTTACGCCACTGCGCACGACGCAGTGTGACGCGTTAATCAAGAATGGACGGCTTATCGGCTTAAACTATTTTTAAAGGCATAGTCACAGATCGATGGAGCCTGTCTAACGTCAGCTTTGAAGTGCATTCCATAGTTTAGCCCCCGCTGTAACGCTTTTTAAGAAATTCTGTTTTGCCAATGAAAGTGACAGATTTATATTATAATTTCTGAGATGCAGTTTGCATATCGCTTCTCGAAATAAACATTTGTTTCCAAGTAGATACAACTACCTGAAAAATACAAGTAGAACTTCAACGCTTCGAGCGAAGGGCCTATACGTCCAGAAGTTAACGACGCTAACTTCCCGACGAAGAGTCTTCGCTCGAAGCGTAGAAGTTGACTGTGCTTAATTGTATTTTTCAGGTAGTTGAAAATCTCTCTCAATCCGCAGCTGTCTTGTATTGTCGCTACCTCCTACACTCACACAGAAACTTCGTTATTTTGTAAAAGGTTTTTGTAAAGAAAGATAGATTTGTCAGATTTGTGCAGGTCAAGTCTAAAGGCGGATTTCCAGTCCTCGCACGAAGCTCCTCGCAGCTCACTGCGAGTGCTTGTATCTAATTAAAATTAACTGTTTAGCATTGTGATTGAGTGCTCATTCATGCACTCGCAGCGAGCTGCGAGGAGCTTCGTCCGAGGACTGGAAATCAGCCTTTACATCAAGGTTTCCAAGAGAGTAGATCAAGGACCTCGCCAGATCTGGTTTCATAATTCGACGTGTGAGATTCTCATACTCTGTTCTAAATGCGCCAATCACACATTACATTTATAATGCGTCAGTATAGCGCAAATAATACATTTTGAATTTGTACTCACAGAGAAACTGTTATTAACATTCTTTATGCTTGTTTCAGCCACACTTGAATTCTGTATATCAACTTCAGTAAATATGTCTGCCTAAAACATTTATAATTTTAAAACATCAAGTTGTTTGCCTTTCTTGTGCAAGTTGTTAAAGGCTTAAAGCTTAAAACGAATGTTGAGTCTGTATACAATTAGACATGGAGTTGTAACCTCCACATTGTTAGCACGCTCTGTCAGTTGAGTTAATGGAACATAACATTCACAGCATACACTCCTAATTAGTAGTGTCAGTTTTTGTATTATTAATAATATTATAATGAAGGATGTCAATATTGATGATGCAACTTACGATGATATTTCGGGATACGGTCTGAGAAAAGTCAAGAAAAAGTAAGAGAGTTTTATTAGAAAGAACGTCTATTTTAAAGACCCAATGCAGTGAAGATATAACCCCCGCAATTCTCCTGCCCACCTGCAATAATTCGCATACTTTTCCGCCCGCGCACAGAGTCTTGCGACTTGCGGAGGAGGTATAGGAATAGTGGGCGAAAAGTGGAACGTTAATTAACTATGTCAACTCATTTTCGTGACAATAACGTGACAATTAAGACGTGATCGTAATTGTTATCATTGCTAGCATGAAACTAAGATAAAGCAAAGTTTTTTGTGTCAGTTATGCCGACATTTTGAGAAGAGGATAAAAGATTTGGATAAATTGAACAAAAAAACCGATAGGGCTACGTGCCCTGATTTAGTCATCGATTGTTTTTCCATGCAGAATTAGTCAGAAAAGAATTTAATCATATTTTCATCTGACAACACTAGTGTCACCATGTTAGATAAACATGACCATTTAGGATTTTGCTTGTTTGTAATGCAATTTATGTCCAGTATGGCGAAAATTTCTTTGTTCTTTGAATACCGGAGGTAAATGACTTAAAGTACATTTATTATGCCGAGGGGGGAATGAAGATGTTAAGGGGGGGGGGCTCTGAAAGTTCTCGATATACTGAAGAGGGGGCTCCAAACTTTTCAAAGTTTTGGTCCAGTGGGGGCCTAGAGTGTTCACACCAGTGAACTGTTGACTCCCACCATAGTAACATAGATAATAGAATAGAATAGATGGTTTGGAACTCATTATAATAACAATATAACTCATTACCTATGTTAGTGAACAATAACATTCATAAATCTAGTCTTTTACCGTCACGTGCGTATTGTATTTTTGCCCGACTAACCAATAGCAATGTTTTAAGAAAACTACCTATCCAGGACTCAAACAATATGTGACGGTGAAGGAATACATTTATGAATAAACGTTGACTAACATAGATAATGAGTTATAGTACTGCTATTCTAACGATTTCTAAACCATCTATTCTATATTAACTGGCGGCATGGGGAAGCTCCACATGGAATACGTAAAAGATCGAAGGCTATAACACAAGCCAAAAATGCATGCAAAAGCACCAATATGCTTCAACTTCTGAAATTTTCATTCTGTTTCTACCAAATTTTCCATGAATATAGAACATATCATTCTTACAAATCGTTGTTTTTTGTTTTTGGAATTGCTACTTAAATTACGTCACAAACTTGGCGCCAAAAAATAAAAATAAGCTATTGGTGATTTTACTAAACCCATTTAGTAGAGCAGACTAAGGGTACTTTAATTAATTAAAACTGAAATCTGTTTCTAAATACAACCATTTTATGGGAAGATATAGCGATACAATGTCGAAAAACTGCTATATTGTTACTAAAAATAGAACAAAATGGCTGATTTTTAGAACAGGGTCGTAGCGACCGGGGTGTGTGGGAGGGGGTGTAAAACTCCCCCTACTATGAAATTCAAGGAAAAATCATGTAAAACCAAGTTAAAATTTTGACATTTTCAAGTAAAATTTGCGTAATAGAGTAATTATTTTTGTGAAATGATAACCATTTTTGTAAAATACAGTCAATTTACATGCAATTTGTTTGCAAATTTGCTCTAGAAAACGCCAGAAATTCAGTCCTAGAGCTTCAAAAATGTAAAAATTTTCTGGGGAAGGACCCCCAGACCCCCTATGAGACCGCCAAAAAGTAGCAGATCCAAAAACAAGAAAAGCATATGATTTGTAAGAATGATATGTTCTATGTTCATGGGATATTTAGTACAAACGGGATAAAAATTAAAGAAATTGAAGAATACTCGGGTTTTTGCATGCATTTTTGACAAGCATGCAAAGAAATTTGCAACAGATACCAAGAGATAAGTTGGGTGGGGGCGAGGTTCTCTAAGGTTCCAGAACATTAACCTGATCCAGCAAATCCCGGCCACTACCTGAACGTGTTCAAAACTACGACTACACTGAATGACGGACAACAACAACCTGTCGATAATTTCGTCCCTAGAGCTAATCTAAAATGTTTTTTAAAGACGGTGCCATTTCATCTGGCAATAGTGAGGTGAAAGAAGCAGCAAGTTGGTATTTATGTTGAGGAGAAGCGCTTGCTTGAGTATATCAGACATCTTGAGAACTGCAAATTGTATCTATGACAAGAGAGAATTCCGGATTGTACTCCTTCGATTCCAATTTTTTTGTTGGGGGGGGGGGCATTGGAAATTTTAGAGACTTGGAGGGGGGCATCGAAAATTTACCAATAGCCTCAACAGGAGCCCTGTAAAATTATGAGCTTTTTTCAAGACATCTTCATCCCCCCCCCCTTCGGCGTAATAAATGTACTTTCCCTTAGACTCGCAAACCACCCAGCAAGACTGACAGTTCGCTTTGTTGGTCTTTTTAATCATTATACATTGTTCATATTAGGATTCATGATTATAGGTCTATTACTTAAGCCTTGATCACGAAAGAGGATGAGAGTTGACAAGAGTTGGCAAACGATAGTTATCAACTCTTGTTCCCCAGTCAAACGAGAACAAGATTTGCACAAGAGTATACGTCAGTGAGAGTTGACTGGAATTGCAGGTAGCAGGTTAATTGGTACAAGTAAAATGGTTGATGGGATAATACAGATGACGTTTGGTTGATACACAGTGAAAATGTGAACCTAGCAGGCATGTGACTTCAGGCTCGTGTGAAAAGACCTTCAGATATCATAGCCATGCTCATGGCAAACACATACCGTTGGTTCCTTTGCATAGCACAGCTTCCTTTTTTCTTGCAATCGAAAATAACACTTTTTCCATCTCTAAAAACACGAAAAACCCCTTATAATCATAAGTATTATAATCAAATCCACCAACCCGATTGAAGTGGAAGATATTTATGTGTATATGAAGAAAGTGCTTTATATTCGGAAATATATAGAATTACATTTGCAACTTTATAACCAAATAGCAGACGCCCACAAATGACTGAATTAAAATTAATAAAATATCCGGGTTGGCAGGGTTGCCAGGTGCTAAACTAAACTAACTAAAAAAAAGTCTCTTTCACTAAAAATTACTCCCACAGAAACATATACCGAATAGATACATAATAAACTAACTACACTCATCAGAGACTGCATATTTCTATACCAGCAGGTTGCCTATAAATCGCAATCAATTCTCATTATAGATGGCAATGTTGTTGGAAAGACCTTGCAGTATTTTGCCTGGAATACGTCGTTACTATAACATGCGTCCAATTTGCATCCAAATTCAACCCCAAAACAAACAAACAAACAAACAAACAAACAAACAAACAAACAAACAAACAAACAAACAAACAAACAAACAAACAAACAAACAAACAAACAAACAAACAAACAAACAAACAAACAAACAAACAAACAAACAAACAAACAAACAAACAAACCAACAAACCAACAAACCAACAAACCAACAAACCAACAAACAAACAAACAAACAAACAAACAAACAAAACAAACAAACAAAACAAACAAAACAAACAAACAAACAAACCAACAAACCAACAAACCAACAAACCAACAAACCAACAAACCAACAAACCAACAAACCAACAAACCAACCAACAAACCAACCAAACAAACCAACAAACCAACAAACCAACAAACCAACAAACAAACAAACAAACAAACAAACAAACAAACAAACCAACAACAAACAAACAACAAACAAACAACAAACAAACAAACAAACAAAAAACAAACAAACAAACAAAAAACAAAAAACAAAAAACAAAAACAAACAAACAAACAAACAAACAAACAAACAAACAAACAAACAAACAAACAAACAAACAAACAAACAAACAAACAAACAAACAAACAAACAAACAAACAAACAAACAAACAAACAAACAAACAAACAAACAAACAAACAAATATAATTATAAAGAGATGTGTAATAATGATAAATAAACGATAAAAAATACTCAATGGGTAGAATTCCCAATGTAGAACGGTTAAAAATATTTTCCCGCAAGCTAGGGGCATGTTGTAAAAGACAGACTGGACTGGACTGGACTGGACCGGGAAAACGCGGACTGAGTCCGTGTTTTACAAATCGCGGACTGAATTTGTAAAACACGGACTGTACTGGACTGGACCGGGAAAACACGGACTGAGTCCGTGTTTTACAAATCGCGAACTAAGATTTGTAAAACGCGGACTGAGTCCGTGTTTTACAAATCGCGGGCTGCGATTTGTAAAAGGCGGACTCATTTACTGAATGCACTAAGGATGAAGTCGATGAACGGTCGCAGTAAAGTATTGTCTATTCTCATGACAAAGTTCAATGTTTTTACCGAGAAAGTTCAATGTTTTTGATGATCATTTATGGTCATTTGGTGGTTTCAAAGCTTGGATCTGGTTGTTCAACGGGTTAAAATCAGATCAGAACCTGTCAAGTACTCTTGACAAATATCGAAGATTCTCACGCGAATAGGCAATATTTTTATCAACGACCTCACCGTTCATCCTGCAAGCGACGGTACATGGACTCAGTCCTGTACTGACTCAGTCGTAAAAGTTTTGGCGGGAATTGCACTCAGTCGTGAGAGTTTTGGCGGGAATTGCGGATATTAATAGGTTGGTCAGGGAATAATCATATCCTGGAGCTAAGGTTGGTAAAAATTACTATCATTTATTAGTTTTGAATAAATCAAAGATTTTAATTAAATGATAGAATGTTGAGTTAAGTAATTTACAGGGCTTTCAGAGGGAATTTATAGAATTTATATTGGTCCAAAAACAAGGGTTTAAGCCATGTTTTAACAGGAATTGGCAGACACCCCCGAATTAAAAGGGCTAGTTTCGCCCCTGGATATTATAGCTCTTAGAAATGAATACTATAATCGAATAACGATTTTTAGAAACTTCCTCGTATGACAACAATAAAAGTTAATAACACAAATATTTAAAAGGCAAATTCGATTAAAGTATTCATTTCATATTTCTCGCAAATTTGTAGACACCTTTATTTAATACGCCCTCTTCGCCACGAACACAACTGAATAAACAAATTAACTCTATTTTCTTCTAATTATGATTAACACTAATTGGTATCTGCTATAAGAGCTAGCCTATATCTTATTCTATACAGGCATACAACTATTTACAGAGGGGCCCCTATACCTCTTCACAATATGCTTTCACGTAAAAATATTTTGCCTTTTCACGAGTCACGGATTAAGAAAATCATCGATCACGTTTCACGGCTAAGTAAAATAAGCCCTTCGCGCTTCACGCAAAAAGTATAGGGGGCCCTCTTTACACGAAACGGCCACACTTGATATACGCACGAGTTTCCTCGACAATAGTGGCACAAAGTCCCACATGGCTGAGCGTGCTCCTAAGATTGAACGCTGTTCATCAGTTTATTTCAAACAATAAATAAATAATAGTAATTTTTACCAACCTTAGCTCCAGGATATGACTATTCCCTGACCAACCTATTAATATCCGCAATTCCCGCCAAAACTCTCACGACTGAGTGCAATTCCCGCCAAAACTTTTACGACTGAGTTAGTACAGGACTGAGTCCATGTACCGTCGCTTGCAGGATGAACGGTGAGGTCGTTGATAAAAACATTGCCTATTCGCGTGAGAATCTTCGATATTTGTCAAGAGCACTTGACAAGTTCTGATCTGATTTTAACGAACAAGCTTTGAAACCACCAAATGACCATAAATGATCATCAAAAACATTGAACTTTCTCGGTAAAAACATTGAACTTTGTCATGAGAATAGACAATACTTTACTGCGACCGTTCATCCTTAGTGCATTCAGTAAACGAGTCCGCCTTTTACAAATCGCAGCCCGCGATTTGTAAAACACGGACTCAGTCCGTGTTTTACAAATCTTAGTTCGCGATTTGTAAAACACGGACTCAGTCCGTGTTTTCCCGGTCCAGTCCAGTCCAGTCCGTGTTTTACAAATTCAGTCCGCGATTTGTAAAACACGGACTCAGTCCGCGTTTTCCCGGTCCAGTCCAGTCCAGTCCAGTCCGTCTTTTACAACATGCCCGATTCAGGTCACTTATTTCAAAGCGCGGTTCCCATGCATGTTTTGTTTTGAATATTAGTTACTTCGGTTATTACATTTCTAAATTTAGAATACTGGGCGGGGATATAGGCCGTGGGATGAGCATCCAAAAGATACAATTCCGTTGCACCCCTCGTGGAACTACGTAATTTTCACATGAATAAATAGATAGG